CGCAGCTCAGCACAGATATCCACAGCAGCCTGTTTGGCCCGGGCCTGTTCTTCTACTGGGATTGCCACCCTCCTCCGGTAGTAGGCAAAGAGTTTTTCTTGCAGTGACAGACGAAGGCGTGACTTCTTCAGCTCTACCTGGCTCCTCTTAACAGATGGCTTGTGCTTTGGGGGTCGAAATGAGTCTGCCAGACAGGAGGGAGAGACAATAGTCCCCAGTATTTCACTCCAAAGTGAAAATAAATAACTTGGCTGCTGTGAAGTGCAATCACCTTCAGGGAGGCAAGGTTCTTTGGGTAAATGTGATCTCTTTTATTAGGCCAACTACATAGTTGGAAAAATTGTTCTTTGCAAGCTTTCGGGTACAAACACCCTTCCTCAGGCCTGATTAAGACACCAAGTAAAGGTCTATCCCCGAGTGCTATTCTGCAGATTCAATACTATCCAACCTAAAGGTCGCTATTACTGGAGAGAGGGTTTAGGGGCAACTGGTATAATGCAAAAATGTATCTCACTGCTCCTCTTACCTGCATCAGAAGCTGAAACATCGGTGGGAAGTGTCTGTAGGGACCGGCTCAGATTAGTCTTCATGTCCTGGCTCAACAACCGTGAGGAGGACCCCAGCCAATTTGGCTCTTCCCAGCTTCTTTTTCCTGATTGGCTCAAGCGAGTGGGGCTGCTAGGAGCACTGACTGCACGGTCATACATCTGAAATGGCATTACAGGGCACATTTTGGTTGCATGAAGTGCCCAATCTCTGTCTCAATCCATTTGAAAGTTACTACCATGCCAGGGTCCATTATATGCCCTCATTCTCTTCAGTCCCCTGTCCATGCCCACCCACTCACTCACCCACACCTCCCCATGCTTACCCGTTTGACAGCCAGTGTGGCAATGCCCAGCATGGCAGCTCCACCCACACCCAGCACAAGCCGGGCATTGGATAGCACGAAATCGATGGCTGTGCCTATACCGTTGTCATCCTTCTTTCCCTTGCGCTCCCCAGCGCCTGCCATCTCACCTGGAGGGTGTAGGGGAGAAAATGGAACAGAGAGTCAGAGGAGTGGAATCCCAATCCAAAACTCCATTGCTCTAGACCACTGCTCATTGCTCTTAGGAATCTAGGATTTCCCACACTGAAGCAAATTATGGTCCATTTAGCTCTGCATTCTACCTTGTCACATGAGCTCAAGCCATGTGTCCACCTAGACAGCCATCTCATTTCTCAGTGGTCAGATGCCCCAGAGAAAGGCAATGAAACCCCTTTTACCATCCATAAGTATGAGACACTCGAACCACAGGGAAGTTTCTTAGACTCCAGATCTGTTAGCAAACCTGAAACATGAGAACTAACAGCATGTGTAATTTATGACACCAAGATCATTTTGAGCTATACTTGTTCAAGCACCATCTTATGCTGCTAAGAAAGTCTTATTGATCTATTTCTTTCAATACCATCTTGCAACAGCAAGTTCCACAATACGGTATAATATAAAAGGGCCACCCGTATGATTAGAGATTTGCATGGCAAGCCATATGAGAAAAGGCTGAGGGACCTGGGACCCTTCAGCCTGAAAGAGAGAAGGCTGAGAGGGGACTTGGTAACAGCTTACTGCTGCATCAGGGGAGTACATCAAGGGCTCAGTGAACAACTGTTGACCAGGGGACCCTTGGGAAAAAACAAGAGTAATGGCCACAAACTCCTTGAAGACTTTTTCAGGCTCAACATTAGGAAAAACTTCTTCATAGTCAGGGTGTTCAGACTGTGGAATAAGCTCCCTCCAGAGGTGGTGCAATAGCCTACCCTGGAAATCTTCAAGAGAAGACTGGACAGTCACCTTGCTGGGGTCACCTGACCCCATCTGTCTTTTCTGCCTGGTGCAGGGGGCTGGACCCAATGATCTTCCAAGGTCCCTTCTAGCCCCCATACAATCTGTGAATCTATAAAAATATTTGCTCACCCAGGAAAAATGAAAATTATTCAAGTGGTTGTCAGGAGCATAGGAAGAGCTGTACTGCCTCTGACTAGTTGTTGATCTAGTTCAGCATTCCTGCTCTGGCAGCATTCAATACCAGATACTTCAGAGAAGGACATAAGAACCTGCACTAGGAACTGGTTGGCTCAGAGGGGAAGCTTCTTGCTTCTTAGTGTCAGTTGTTGGCTAAGGCCCTCAGACACGTTGGGTTTCACTCCACATGTAGAAATCAAGTCATTTAACATAATGTTCATGTTCCTCCACAAATACTTTGCTCAGTTCCAGGTACACCATGGGCCTTGATGATATTTTAATGGCCACAAATTCCACATGTTAACTATATGGGTAAAAAAAGGGATTTTCTTTGATTATCTTTCTGGTTTTAGGTTTCTCAAGGAAAGACAATATAAGGGAGTTTTCTAACTGATTATAAAGTCAGTCCCGCTAAAATGATTTAACAAGTGGAAGGCATGGCATTGAACTGCATTTACGCAACATAAAACAGCCTCACTTGTGTCTCTCAACCAGCAGACAGTTTCCAAGTCCACCTTAAATTCCAAATATTCAAGAAGGATGGCCCCTGCTCCAATGAGTTTGAAAACCAATTAATTTTGGTCCATGGAACAAAAATATATGTCATTGGTAGGAATAAAGCTAAAGCAAACGTCAAAAAACATTGTGATGTCATAATAAATTACTTACTTGAGACTCAATACATCGCTCAATACGTCTGTGAAGGGAAAAGGAGAGTCTTCCTGTGTTACTTGTCAGACACCTTCCTTTTCCCAAGTCTGCTGCAAGTAGAGGATCATAACCATCGGGCCAGAGTGTGGAAGTTTAAAAGAGACAAAAAACCAAGGCTGCAGGGTCAGAGCAAGAGAGGAAGAAAGGAAATTTCTAAACCAACCCCCCCAGTTTGCTGTGCAGGAAGGCCAGCCCTTTCTCCAGCTGTCTCTCCTTGTCTTCCAGCTGCTCCAGCTGCTTGTTCTTGCGGAATTCGTGCCGGATGGTGGCAAAGTAGAAATCCCGGTCGGTGTAGCGCAGCCCACGGCCCTGGCGCAGCAGAGTGCGATAGAGGCTCAGGACGGCCTGGCGGGACCACACTGCCATGGGGGACACGTGCAGGGCACAGCACACTGGAAAGAAATAAGAGACCCGAAGTCAGCAACTCTGTCTTTCAGGTACATTATTCAGGCATCCACCTGCAACCCCACCCCTGCATCCTGAGCAACCTGGAAGGAAAAACCAAGGCGCTGCAGGGGAGATTTCCCAGCAGGAATCCAAGGGTTGGATTCCTACTGGGATTAGGGGAATTTCCTACTGGAAAACACCCAGGAAAGAGAAAGAAACACCTCCAGCTGCAGGTAACAGACTCCCTGCTGGAGGTGCGAAACAGCCTCGCAGCACATGCAGGCTCCCCCCAGCTACTCAGCCAGGCCAGGGACAGTGAGGCAGAGACTCCCTATGAAACCTGGGGAAAGACAGCCCCAGCAAGGGGCTGAGGAGACAAGCAAGCTGGCCCCTGGGGACGAGGGGACGGCAGAAGCCCGCGGGGAGCAAGAAGGAAGGCTAGGCAGCGGGGACCCGGGGCAGAGAAACCCCTTGGAGGTGGAAAACCTACACAGAGGACAGGCCCAGGAGTGCAAGACCCCTGGGGCGGGAGGCCCTGGGGAGAATGTCAAGAACTCCCGCCAAGGAGAAGCCCGACCCGCGCTCACCCGGAAAGGGGCTGAGGGGGCCCTCACGCCCGGCCCGACCCGTCGCGGGAGCTCAACACCACCTCCTTCCCTCAGCACCACTCCCGGGGTCACCCGGCAATATGGCCGCTTCATTTCCGGGTCGTGACCCCTCCCGGAAGCCATAGAAGAGCGAACTAGAGGCTAGAGCGTCCCCGCCCGGAGGACTTCCGGCATCTCCTGTCGCTCACTACGCGTCTCTGCCCTGAGGTGGCTCGTGGCAGTCGCCGAGGAGCGCTATGGACTGGGGCCGCTAGGGGGCATATGGCATGCTCTCCTGCCCTCATTTCCACCTAGGAGAAGTTTTACAATCTTTGCATCCTTCCATGCCTGAGGAAGGGTGCTCGTGCCCAAAAATAAAGATTTTTTTTTTTTAAATATCTAGTTGGTGTCATAACAGATGTCACCTCTACCCAGAGTTGTGATTCCTGTTGTACCACAAGCACCCATATGCGTTCCCAGCCCAGACCTGCAGACCCATCACAGGTGCCTGCAGGACAAAGATGCCCCGCGGGGCTCTGGATAGTGGGAGACTTGCTGTCAACCGGGAGGGACAGCCTCTGCGGGGCAGGCCCTGGCAGCACTGCTGGGCGCACAGGCTCCCAGCACAGACCCAGAGGTTTCAAGCAGGAGGCGGTGGAGTTAGGAGTCTTGCGCACCTGCCTCTCTCGGGGGTCCAAGTGCTGTGTGGCAGGAGAGCAGCTCTGGTTATTTTCTGTCCTTGAAAAGCCAAGCAGAAGCTCAGAGCTGGCATCTCCCGGGGCCCCCAGCGCTGCCTGAGGTCTAAACGAGGTTGAATCCTAGAACAGGAGGGTGGAAGGGAGGGACCTCAGGGCATCTAGGCCAACCCCCTGCTCCCAGCAGGACCAACTATCTCAACTATTTTTGTCTACCTGGGTCTTAAAAACCTCCAAGAATGAAGATTCCACAACCTGTCTCGCAAAGGCATTACTACCCGCCTCGTGACAAAGTTCTTCCTAATATCTGACCTTAACTTCCCTTGTTGCAACTTGAGTCCATTGCTCCTTGTTCTGTCATCTGCCACCACTGAGAACACTCTGGCTCCATCCTTTTTTGAACCCCCCTTCAGGTAGTTGAAGGCTGCTATTAAATCTCCCCTCAGTTTTCTCTTTTCCAGACTAAATAAGCCCAATTCCCTCAGCCTCTCCTCACAAGTCATGAGTCCCAGCCCCCAGGCCATTTTTGTTGCTTTCTACTGGACTCTCTTTCTGTAGTGGGGGTCCAAAACTGAACACAGTGCTCCAGATGTGGCCTCACCAGTGCTGAATAGAGGGGAATAATTATTCCCCGTGATCTGCTGACAATAGTCCTACCAGTGCAGCCCAGTACACCATTAGCCTGCTTGACAACAAGGGTACACTGTTGGCCCATATTCAGCTTATTGTCCGCTGTACCAGTGGAAGTTCGGTACTGGCATTTTCCAAGGGGGTCAAGTCTAAGGAGGTGGAGAACCCTTGCCTTAACTGACTGAGTTGGCTAGGTCAGATAGTGTTTCTCTCTCCATCTCCGCTTGTACCACACTTGCCTCTGAGCCTGGCACCCCATGGCCTATAACACTCCAGGGACCAAGGTAGGTATTAGGTTGGCATGCAGAAGAGGGAACTGGCAGGAGAAATGGAGGGCATCAGCCTCAAGTGAGCTCAAGCTGCCAAATATTTTAGGGGACAGGGGAATGCAAATGGGTAAAAAAGAGGATGCCAGGAGACTCTGCCCTTCTGCCTGGCACTGCCACAGTCTAAACAGCCTAACAGGTTCCTACAGCAGGAGGATGGGCAGAGGGGAGGCAGGGGCATTGTTAGGGGAGGCCTTAGCTGGGGCCACCATTCAGCCTCTTGACCTGTAGGAACCTGTTAGGCTGTTTAGTCCATGGTAGTGCCAGGCATAAAGGGCAGAATCTCCTGGCATCCTCCTTTTTAGTCTTTTTTATCCCCCTCTCCCTCAAAATATTTGGCAGCTTCAGCTCACTTGGGGCTGGTGCCCTGCATTTCTCCTGCCCATCCTCCTAGTTGATAGCAAGTTGATACTCTCACACCCCAAATCACTCATCTTCCAGCCAGAATAATAGTGAAGCAGGGAGGGAGGTAGGGTGATACTAAGGCACAGTCCCAGGCACAGAGAATGGAATGGGAGACCCTGGTATAAGGGACTAGGAAGGCACATACCATACTACCCTTGGCTGCAAGTAAACTGGGGATGGAGGCAGAACTACTACTGTGAGAGAACAGTTGCTGCCAGAGTCCCAGACATGGGGGAGACCAGGGGCAAGCAAAGCCCTGGGCAGACTGTGGAGAACAAGGGGACCCTAGCATGAGGGACAGAAGAGCTGGGGTAGTATAAAACTATATGCCTGGAGAAGGCTGTTCATGCCCAAAAGCTTGCAAAGAACAAGTTCTCCAACTATTTAGTTGCTCTAATAAAAGATATCACATCTCCCCAAAGAACCTTGTCTGCCCGATTCTTTGTTTTTCGAAGTGCACAAATAAATAGACACAGCAGTTACCCTGAGATCAAATCAAATACATAGTGACCACATCCAGACAACAAAAACAATTAGCTTCCTTTTAATGAATCCCACTGACTTCTATCATTTTTTTAGAATTTGGTGCTTGTTGATACCTGCGAGGAATGAGAAAGGTTGGTCATGTTTTCAGGTTGATTTCACTTTTAATCCTCTAGGGCCCTGTGACAGTATGTTTTTTTGGTAAAAGGGACTACAGGAATTGAGCGTTCTATTTTTGTGTGTTGAATAGAAGAGGAAAAGGTATCAGTTCTGCTTTGCAGCTACTGTGGAGTGGGTTGCTATGTGCACCTAATGTTTGCTTGCAGCGTTGCAGGTGTGGAATTGCAACTGAAGTTCTGTTCTAGCTTGTGAAGTTTTGGCCAGGGAAGTGATTTCCTGCAAGTGGTGGGAAAGAAGTTTATTCTCTCTCCTCCACCTTCGTATAACATTTGCTCTTTTAACAAGAAACAAAAGAAGTTATTTTAATTATTATGGCTGTGAGCACTCTAAAAATGGATCTTGTTTAGGAACACACATGATTTACCACAATAAATTAGGCCCGATGTCAATCTATTCCTGTATCCTGTGTCTTGAGCCAGCACCAGATTCTTCAGAGGCAGCTGTAAGAGCCCTACAGCAGGCAGCGGTGGGATAATCTTCCTCTCCTATTAGATTTAATTCTAAATTCCTGAAAGTTAGAGATGAAATTAAACCCTGAAGCATGACCCTTAGCATTGCATCATAGTTTCATAGTTTCTAGGGTCGGAAGGGACC